ATGGTATTACCTACAAATAGGAGCCTACCAGAGGATGGCACCCCAGAAGCCTAGGGACTTCTGCAGTCAACACTCAACACCACTGGGAAATCCTCACACTAGATCTTTATGACCATTCCAGTGGTGGTAAACACTCATCCCCTGCACCTGACATCTGTCCACATCTTTTATGTCAAGGAGATGTTTTACCTTCATGAACAGACCAATTATGGCTCCAACTCTGAATTTTTTTTTTTTTACACTGGCATGGATAACAGCTTTTTAGACCATAAAAAATAACCAATATATGGCAAACCAAACCAAACCAAAACAAAACAAAAAAAACAAAACTGAGGTCCTATCACAGAATAATAGGTTACAGCTCCTGTAGATAATAATGAATGGATCATCTTAACTATCTCAGAATTGGCCTATAAAGATCCAGGGCACTTCTCTACCCAGAACACCCCTTTTTACTAATAATTATCATGTCTACCCCGACAACAGAACCACCAGTATCTTAGGAGTACGCCAGTATCTATCCACCCGCTACAAAAAATGATTTCCGGTTGGCCTTCCAGCAGGTCAAACTGAAATACAAAGAGTACACCAACCTCAAAACAGAGCATCTTAGTGGGAGACATCATTAGCTCTTTTCTAGATACTTTCACTATGCATCACCCATCCATACCAGAAACTCAAAGAACACTCCTCAAGATCATGGAAAACCTTCAAGCTTTCTGCATCTTGTGGCTTCCCTTTACCCTTGATTTTCATGAGACATCTAACTTGCCCATCACCATATCTATGATCAGCCCCCTAAGGCTCCACTCTTCCTCAGAACCTAAGCAAGCCCCTAACCAACCAAGAGAGAAATTCTGGGTGTGTCAAGGGGAATCTACTATATTCCAGGTAACATTAAGGTCAGCTGTATTCACTGATTTACCAGAAGAATTAAGGGCTAAAAGAGCAATTGTTGGAACCTATCTTTTACCTCCAAAATTACAAGGAAGCACATTAAGCTGTGTTGAAGACAAACCCAAGGAAACTATCTTTATATAACTTTAATTATGGTTTACATTTTTATGCTATTCCACAGTTCTTATAAGTTATCTATTTTAATAGCTTCTTAAATCATTGATACGATTTGTCGTAATTGACCTAAAAATTCCCTCATTGTAATGGAAGTTATTTCTAATTTTTCCTCTATTATGGATACTGCTTCAGTAAACACCTTTATACATAAAGAGTTTCTTCTTTAGAATTATTTCTTAGTTATAAAATAAATAAGTCCTGGGGATATAGTGTACAACATGGTGGTAATAGTTAAAATATTATATTGTAAAAAATATATATACTATATTGTATATTTGAAAGTTACTAAAAGTAGGTCTTAAAAGTTCTCACAACAACAACAACAAAAAAAGGTAACTATATAAGATGATGGATTTGTTAACTAATCTTATTACGATGATCATTTTGCAATATATTAATATATTAAATCATTATGTTGTACACCTGAAACTTACACCACGTTGTATATCAATTTTATCTCAATAAAAAAATTATTTGTTTAAGATAATCCCAGCAGCATGAACCTCTTAGTTAAAGAATATGAATATTTTAACTTTCTTTATGGGAATTGTTTAATTCACAACTCAAAGGGCCATACCAAGCCACCATTCATAATCTCTGATGGTCCTTCTACCTCAAGCTTATCCTAACAAATGTTCCTCTAATACAATGTAGTTGGAAGTATAAATTGGGGCCACTGTTTTAAAAGGCAATTTACGGTGTTTTTGAAAAGCTGAAATATAAAATACCCTTTAACCTTGACACTCCATTTCAAGAAATGGGTTCTTTGAAATATTGGCATGTCTACCCAAAGGAAAATGAACGTGGATGCTTACTGCAGCCCTGTTTGTGCGAGCAAAGAAACAGAAATTAATGTAATTATTCATCAAGGGGAGAATAAATTATGATAAATCAAAATAATGTATATTTATTTCTGTTTTAAAGAAACTATATGCAGGTATTTGCACCTATATACATTTGCAGTGTGTAGGAAAAAGTCAGAAGAATATCCTAGTAGTGGTAACCTGCAGACAGAGAAATATATTGGGGAGAAGGGGGCGGTAGGGTGGTGCTGAAGGAAAAATCGTATGTATCACTCTATAGGTTTGCATCTATTTGGACTGTTTGCAATCACCAAATATTCACCTAATACTTTTATAATTAAAATCACTTTTAAAATAAAGTACTTGAAGGAAGACAAACTTAACACTCCAGTGATAAAAACCTATTGTTTCCCACCTCTCTCTCTCTCTCTTATTTTGTTATCAATCTAAACAACACTGAACACTAGCAATACATTCCACTACTGATCTTATCAATGTCCACTCCCTTACAAATGAGTGAACCCGAATAAAAGCCCAATAGAGAATTAGCGCTGAGAAAGGAGGATAGTTGGAAAGCTAAAAAGTTAAGAAGAAAGAGACTGAAGAAACACATATTTTCAAATAATCTGTATTCCAAACCAAAAAGCATAATAAAAATGCACTTTTATGCATGATACCTTCTCATACTGGCTTTAACTTTTACACTGGAATAAGTGCACAAAGAAAATGTTGGCTATTTATTTAAACCTGCAGGTCTCTGAATAGTCTACTCTACAGAGAATCTGGATCAGAATCATCAGTAGCACTGATCAAACATCAAAAGTCACGATCTTTAGGTACAACTCCAGATCTGAAGCTAGAGGGTGGAAATCTGCAGCTTCGGCGTTGACACATGAATCCCAAAGTTTAAAATATACTTTCTTAAGCATTCAGAAATACTGGACATCAGAGTGGTACATAGGAATGGAGTCATTCTATTATTGAAAAGAGAAATTTCTCATTTGGCTTTCTGAAAGGCAGGGAGGTCATACTTTATTTTCTAAAGATTAGGCTTTCTAATCTAAACAAAATACAACCTGATTTAGATTTTTTTTTAAAGATTTTATTTATTTATTTGACAGAGAGAGACACAGCGAGAGAGGAAACGCAAGCAGGGGGAGTGGGAGAGGGAGAAGCAGGCTTCCCGCGGAGCAGGGAGCCCAACGCGGGGCTCGATCCCGGGACCCTGGGATCATGACCTGAGCCGAAGGCACATGCTTAATGACTGAGCCACCAGGCACCCCTGATTTAGATTTTATATACCATTCAGGCAGGGACTGTTTCTATTTTGATAATAACTCTGGGCCCAGCAGCCCATGTCTGGCACGTATTAAGCATGCAGTAAATATGTGCTGAATTAATATGGTTTGGGCCAGGGAGCTCCTCACGTGATGACAGAAATTAATTTGGATGAACTGGACGTGGCCAGTGGGAGAGAAGAATCTGGGCCTGGGAAAGGGATAAGGTGGATTCCACACAGGGCTCTGTCAGGGAAGAATGGGCCACTTCACATTTGTAAGTCTCATATCCCTGCTCTACAAAATAAGGGAGCAGATTCTGGGAAATTAACTGCCAAGAAATCATTTAAATTTAGTCTGAAATGTTAAAATTCAGATTCTAGAGTAGTTTAAACACTCCTGTGATAAATGTCCTTGTGTACTCTCAAGTAAAAGTTAATACCATACAGACAAAGAAACACTTTGAAATGTGGATATTACCTTCACCACTGATTTGTCATTCTGTGATTAAGTGTGAAATCACTGGGAAGAGGACAATCCATTTGAAAACAAGAAAGATAACGAGTAAAGAAGTAAACGGTCAGTCTGCAAGTCTTGTCAGCTGTTATTCCAAATTTCAAAATCTATTATTTACACAAATTATTTTTACCTAAATATTCAGGAATGGTACCTGATTTAGTTATTATTGAATGTGGGGCATAGTTATCAAAAGAAAAAAAAAAAACATGCAACATATCTTTTTGAAAAGGTATTCACAATAGTTTGCACAACCACAGGATGGCCAATCACCCAAACACATGTTTTAAAAGATCAAAAAGACTTTCTGTGCACAGAGACATTAAATACAATAGGTACCCAATTTAGAAAAGAATCTACTTACTAATAAACATGGCCTTCATTTATAGAGCTGCAAATCAGTCTTAACTGCAGCAAGGGGTCATGGAGAGCAGGAACAAATATTAATCTGCATGCCTATCTCCAAAACTCTGGTGTATTAGAGCAGGTCAGCAGATGGCTAAATTTGCATGAGAAGCTCCCTAGGCCGAAACAGGAAAAACAATGAAGGGTGCCCTTAGGATTCTAGGAGAAAAGCTCACGAATCAGAAGAAAACCAAAAGTTACTTCAAACTGCGGGAGGAGGGGGTGGCCTGGGAAGGCCGAAAGTCACCCTGAGATTTGGGAGGTCAAGAGACACATCTCTCAGTTCATGTCACTTCTGCCCATCCTCAGGGAGAAGTACATTCAAGTAACGAGGGGATCGGGGTTCCTCAATTACCCTCTTGCCCAGTCCATGGAACACCTGTTCCAAGCCCTCAGTGGAGACAACTGCTAAAAGCACAAGGTTGTCTTCTGGAAATCTTGAAAGAGCTGGGTAAAGGGGGGTAAAGAAGCTTGTCCCACCATGAAGAACCCAGTTCCAGTGAGCAGCACCAGGGTATGCAGGCCAGAGGAGGAAGCTTGGAGGGCAGCAGGCTGCAAACAACCAGAAGCAAAGAAAGCAGTAAAACGGGACCCTGGCACTGCCTCGATGCTCTTCAAGGGATGAAGTGGATGTGGCATGAGAAGCAGCGTCAGGAAATGTTGGTCCGAATATGCAGCTAAATGTTGGCAGAGGATGCGGTAGAAGAGCCCCAGTGGCAAAGGAGGGCACAGCTGGAAGAGCCTGCATGGAGTCTCACGAGCCAACTCAGCATCCCTGGGAGTGGAAAACAAACTGACTTGGAATCCCAGGACCCAGAGTGGTAGGGCGTCAAGAACCACTACAAATGTCACTCATGCCCCGAGCATGCTTAGTAAGGCTGGTGTAGCTGGTAACACAAGGCTTACAATCAAAATGTTCACTCACCTTCTTCCGGAGCCATGGTGCTTTGGACAATTTCATAAAAGTCAAGTGAGGCTTAAAACTCCTGTTTTCTCCTGCCAAAATGCCCTTTTCTTGAAATGTCCTTTTTGCAGCCTCTAAAGAAAATAAAAACACAAAAATGCTACTGTAACACATGGCTATCTTTTATTATAAAAATGGCAATTCAAAAAGTAACAAATTATTTTATAATGAAGAATACTTTATATACCTGTATGAGATATTATTTTCTAAAAAAAGAATAAAACCACAATGTGTAGGACAACACATTATTAAATCTGCAGAGATTTCAAACTTTAAGCATACAAAAGCAACAATTTGAAAAGGAAACATTTAATAAATGAAATAAGCATTTATCTGATATGATGCTGATTTTCACTGAATATCCTAGCAGTGCCCATACGCATAAAAAGGACTAGTTTATCTGTAACCCGTAAGATCTAAAACTTCTACTTCTGACCAAGATGGAATAACAGAAATCAGATCTACCCTCCCATCTGAAACAATGAAAGGACAAAGTATATAAAATGATGGTTTGTAAGATACTCTACTTATCAGGCAATGAAGGTCAGTGATCCTTTAGAGATGAGAAACAAACAAGGTGAGCCCTTCAACTGCCCAGCTTTCATCCTTGAGTGTCTAGGCCCCTGTGCAAGGAGGAGAAACCCAGGTGGAGCTTAGTCATCTCACTGGGTCAAGCAAAAAGAGTCGAAAGTAGGGGAGGCAAAGGTATCTACAGCTCACAGGCAAGATTCCTAGAAAAGTGAGACCTGTGCAGAGAGAAAACCCCACAGATCTACAGAGGGTTGCCCTAGATTATTCAGCTGAGTATAGACCAGTGCATATTTGTTAGGAAACTACCTGAGGATGGGGAAACACATTCAAAAGGATTAGAGGGAACGGTGCTCAGTGCTCATACAGGGGCAGGAGAATTGTCTGTTCCCATGAGCCAGGCTGGAAAAACCTCGAGATTTCTAGGAAACTGGGTAGAATGAACAGAAAGGTCTTACCTCAGTAGTGGGGAAAAATTGAACTGGTACTATTCTAGTCCCATCTAAAAAATCTTAGAAGCAAGATCCAAAAGGAAAAAAACTGTCTCCAAGTAACTTAATTGTGTCCCAGAACAAAGCCCAAGAAGTAGACTATCCAAACCCAACAAGGCAGACTTCACAATGCCTGGCATCTAATAAAAAATGCATACAGGCATTCAAATGAACAGGAAAATGTGACCTACAATGAAGAGATAAATCAATTCACCAAAGGGAACTGACACAAATGTTAGAGTCAGAAGATAAAAGAATCAAAATAGCTATTATGACTGTTTTCTTTATGTTCAAAAAGTAGAGACATGCAAAACATAAAAAAGACCCAAATCAAATTTATAGAGATAAAAATTGCAATGTCTAGAGAAAAATAAACTGGATATAATGACAGATTAGACATTGTAGAACAAAACATTAGTGACCCTGAAGACATGGCAATAGAAACCACCCAAAATAAAATACAGAGAGAAAAAAGAAAGAAAGGAAAGGGAAAGGAAAAGGGGAAGGGAAAGAAAAGGGGACGGAAAGGGAACGGAAAGGGGAAGGAAAGGAAAGGAAGAAAAGAAAAGAAAAGAAAAGGAACATCGGTAAGTGTGGGGTAACTGCAAGTTGTCTAATATATGTATAAGTGAAGTCCCTAAAAAAGAGGCAAGAGGAAGACAGAGAAAATATTTGAAGAAATAATGCCTGTTGGGGAATGAGAGTTGCCACAACCATGACAGAAAATAATCTAGGCAATAATTTTTAAAATTTAAACTGCACAAGTATTTGAACCAGCAAATTTAATTCTAGGAAAATACACAAAAATAAAATTATCAGCATATAAAATTCTATATAGAAGATATTTAGCAATGTTTGAATTCACACAAAGCAGAAATAACCTCATCAATAAAGAAATGGTCATTAAATTACCATACAGCATACTAAGGACTATCATAAGAAAAAGAGAATCAGAGCTACACATATTGACCTGAAAAGATGCCCATGATCTATTAAGCAAAAAAAGGCAAGTTGCATGGTTAATATAACAATAATATGATTTCATGGCCTATTTAAAGAAGAAAAATTCTCTATGCTTTATTAGCATAAAAATGGTATAAAATACCTTAGGATGAGGGTTGAGTTGACATTGAATAGAGATAGAGGAGACTAGTAACATTTTCTTTATACATCTGTATATTGTTTGAGTGGTTACAACGAGCATGTATTACTTCTGAATAAAAAAAGTTAAAAAAAACTAAATAAGCACAATAACTGACTAGACATTAGCAATATAACATTATTACAAGTGCACGAGCATCATACTGGAATGCACAAATAGAATTCTTTGCTATATGTATGAAAAATTCATACTTTTCAAAGATCTTTGGTAAACAACTTTACATTTGTTCTTTCTACCTCAAAATCAGGTAGGGCTAATACCTAAGTTAATTTTAAAGATAAGAAAACTGAAACATAAGGAGTTGATGCTCAAAGTCACTCTCCTTATTAGTAGTAAAGAAGGCACTGGAATCCAGATGCCGTCGCTCCCACTCTGACCATGTTTCAAACTGGATAAAACCCCAGCTTAAACCAAGGTCAGTGAAGGGCACAAAAGCTGCTCCAGCAACTGAATGAGGAAAAGTAAGGCAGGGCATTCTGTCATCTTCCACCACGCCCACACACACACTGGTTTCGGTCAGAGAAGCTCCCCTGTTTCATGCATGCGCTTCTAAGTAGCTTTTCATTTTCTAAAAGGATTCCAACATTTACCCAAAAACAGTTTGAAAAATCAATGCTCAAAAAACACACAGAGAGGGTCCCTTTAGTAACAATAATCCTGCCAGTGATGTCCATCAAAAAATAGAAACAGGTGAAATATAAGGCAAAAAAATGTCTTTGAATCTCAAATAAAACCACGTCCAATCCAAATGTTTAGTGAAAAATTGTTCCTTTTAAATTCATTTATTTCTTACATTACATTTCAATGTTAAATATGCTTTAATTTTTCTAACAATTAAAACTCATGAACCTAGTGGGAGATTATCTAGTATTTCCAGAAAATGTGTCCTAAAAAATAAAAGATGTTTTTAACACAATACTAAATACTAGAGTCATAAGAATGCTTTAGTTTAACCACCAATTCTGTTGGAATCTGGAAATTACTAATGATACATAGAATTATAACCAGACATACCTGGATGAAAACAAAACCAAATATATTTCCATCCAATCTGATTATTTTTTACATAGTGTAAGACTTCAGTTTTTTTTTAATGGGAACCCGAAATAAAAAAGATGTGGGAGTGAACAAAATAAAAAAGATGTGGGAGTGAACAATACAATAGTATCCTTTCTGAGAAAAAGAAGGGTTTGCTGTAATGACTGGTCCATACAAAAGTAATAAAATAATAGAGAAGAGCAGAGCTTCAAAACAGAAATACCTGCACAAGAGAAAATTCAAACGGACACCTTCTTTTTACCAATGACGTAATTATTAGCCCCATCAGTGATATCTGGTATGCCGGCTGGCATGAAGGATAAAAAGCAGGGAAGAGGACCTGCCCTCCCAGGAGAGGAGCTCCTGGAGCAGAGCTTAGGAGTTAATCAGCTAAGTACCCACAGTGTCTGGAGCACGTGCTTAGCATCTATGGGTATTTAATAGTACCTATTGAATTTGAATTGAACATCACCTTTGTGCTAGCTGTTTTATGTATGCTTGATCATCTATGCCTCCAGATAACCCTAAGAGGTAAGTTATTATTCCCATTTTTAAAAATTAAGGAACTGAGACTCTGAAATGTTAATAGCTTACTCAAAGATCACTGAGCTAAGTCATGGTGAGGATAGAATTTGAACTCAAATCTAACTGACTACAACGTTCATGCTACCTCCTATGTGAAGAATCTAAAGTCTTGGGGGGCCTAGCTGACTCAAGTGGAAGAGCATGCAACTCTTGATCTCAGGGTCATGAGTTCAAGCCCCATACTGGGTGTAGAGATTACTAAAATAAATAAACTTCTTAAAAAAGAATTTAAAATCTTCTTTCTCCCCTCTAAGTTATTTTTTTTTAAAGATTTACTCATTTATTTATCTGAGGAGTGTGAGCAGGGGAGGGGCAGAGGGAGAGGGAGAAGCAGGCTCCCTTAGCACTAAGCAGGGACCCTGACTCGGGGCTCGATCCCAGGACCCTGGGATCATGGCCTGAGCCAAAGGCAGATGCTTAACTGACTGAGCCACCCAGGTGCCCCTCTAAGAAAATTTCTTAAATACAAGGTAAAATCTGGTTAGCTTATTTTAAAACTTGTACAGCACTTATGAACTGCAGTTGACAAACTCAGATCTGGTCATTTGCTCATTCATTCAGCAAATAATTACTGACAGCTACTCTGTCAGGTACTGTTCTAGGTGTGGGAACGACAGCAATGCACAAAGCAAATCCCCTGCCCTCAGGGAACGTCCACACATGCTGGGTGCTGTCAGGTATGATTGATCAGTGATATGAAGAAAAATAAAGCAGGTGAAGGATCTACAAAGTGATGTGGAAGAAAAGAGGTTTTGATGTTAGATATGGCGGTCTGAGAAGCCCGCTCTGAAGAGGAGACCGTTGAGAAGCCACCTGAGGGGAGAAGAATACTCAAGGCAGAAAGAAGAACTTACGAAGACTGTTTAGTAGGTCCAGAAACAGTAAAAAGGATTTAAAAAGATAGGATACCTGGAGCAGGGTGAGTCAGCATTTGGGGAAGAGGTAAGAATGGATTTAGAGAAGTAGGCAGGAATATGAGGGGGGCATGGTAAAACCTTCAGATTTTATTCTCAGTATGGTGGGAAATTCTGGGGGTTTTAAGCAAGGAAAATTTATGTGTATGAGTAACTTTCTTTATTCATCTATATTTCAGCTAGAATATACATTTCTTCCTGGTGGAAGAAATTTAATCTCAGGCAATTCAAAGTGCTCCGCTCTTTCCCTAGAGCTGTATTTTAGTTGAAGGGAAGGTAGCTAATGGGGCGTCAGAGTGGTTTAGATGGGGGTGTAGCGCCTGGCTCTTGGGTCACCATCTGGCATCTCCTGAGAC